CTCCCCAGGTGTCTGGGGACCCAAGACCAGGAATGGCGCAGGGCCCAAACCAGGAGCAGAGAACAGAGGGGGAGATGGAGGCCAGGGGAGTCGCGGAGGGCTCCACGATGGACCTATCCCGAGAGGCCTGAGGATAGGGCCAGGAGAGTTAGCCGGTATTACAGGACCAGGGAAGCAGAGAGAGGTGAGGGCGGGGCCGGGTCCAGAGGCAGTACTCCTGGGGCCCAAGGAAGGCACCAAGCCGGTCAGGGTGAACAGGGTCAGGAATCAGCACTGGCTCCCCAGGCGTCTGGGGCCCCAAGACTAGGAATGGCACAGGGCCCAAGCTAGGAGTAGAGAACAGCGGGGGAGATAGAAGGGTGAGCGGGGCTGGCGGAGTCAAGGCGCGGAGGGCTGCACAGTAGACTTACCCCAAGAGAGGCCTGAGGGCGGGAGCAGAAATGACCTTTCAACTTAGAGAAATGAAGGAGAAAATTGAACTTTATGCTAACTAAATAAAACTGAAAATATACTAATAAAAAATCCTTATTCCTGAATTACCAAATCACCATGTTTATGTAAGTTATATATTTCAATAGTGTGGAAAAGCAAGAAACTAGGAGCTTCAATTTGTTTTCAATTCTTCCTTTACTGTACAATTGTCTCTCTAATTTTACTCTAATGTAAGGGAGACAATTAGAGGACTGATCTGAAACAGTGCTATAAAACACATCATTTAGATACCTCAAACCCACTTGCTTTTCTGGAAGTTTCTAGGTCTAGAAAGGAAGGTCTCACTAGCTGTACTCTAGATTAGAAAACCCTCATAGTAACAGTTTTTTTTAAGGAAAGGAAAGAAGGAAGAGAAAGAGAAGGAAGCTCATCAATATACAGGACAAATAGTGGAATAAACTGGTGTCAGTGCTGTGTTAGCAAATAAATCACCAAATTTCTCTGGACCTTAGAAACAAGCGGAGGACATTTTAAAATACAGGTGTGTGAGCCCCAAATCTGAACACTAGCTATGGAGGCTCAGGGTGGGGCCAGGAGTAGCCCCACACTGACTTTTCTTTTTCCTGATGTGCAGCATGCTTGAGAATCATTAGTTTGGACTTCAGCATGATTAATAAAACATGTTTTCTAAATAAAAGTGCTTCTATTAGGTTTCATTAAGAGATGTAATAATGTAAATTTATCCTTTAATATATTTGGTATTATTAAAACTGAAATAAATATTGGAAAACAGAAACCCAAGTAAAGTCTCTAACAATTATGGCCAAGGTTAACAAAATATTTCAGACATTGGAGAATTTCTGCACATGTGAATAGAAATGTACAGTCATTCTTAGTGCTTCAATACAGTTTCTATTTTCCAATTTTTCCAATTAAAAGTCATGCTGTAGGACTGACAAGATGGCTCAGCAGGTAAAAGCACTTGTGGTGGCACACACACACCTGTGCGCACACATGGACATCATAAATAGGCAAATAATAACAAACAAAACTTAAAAAGTTAAAGCCATACTGCAAACATGTTTTTGTTTATATATATATATATATACACACACACACACACACATATATAAAAAACATTTGAATGAATTAACCTCAAAATTTTCTGACAAAGTAGACTGTTCAAGTGCAACTCACCCATGGGTCACATGAATTTAAAGCATTTTTAAATCTGTTCATGCAGCCATTGTGTAAGGATTGGACTCCTATGATTTCACTACTAGCAGACCACAAGAAGAGTGCAACGGCGGTTAGCATGCTCACTTCATCAGGCATAGGCAAAGAATCTTCTGAAAATGAAAAAGAAGAGCAATATGCTATTTCAAAATTATGTGGAAATCAAAACTTAAACAATAAACTCAGCATTCACAGCAGTGTATGTCTCAACCTAAAATATAAAGATTACAAAATTATCATTTTGGAACTATGGTAGTAATAAATGATTCAGGCACAATGGATGCTAAAATCACTGTGTTATAAAGTTTGACAGTAAGTAGAAAATGAGATAAGATAGTCTCAATTCTCCCTGTAGATCATTTGTTAATTTTAAAAAGAAAAAAATGCAACATTATTGTACAGAAATATGGCAGGCATCATCTTAACAAAGTTAATAAAGTTAAGGTTCTGCTGGACATGGTGATGCATGCCTATAATCCCAGCACATGGGAGACTGAGGCAGGATGATTGCCACAAGTTCAAGGGCCACCTGAGCTACACATTGAGTACCAGGCCAGTGTGGGTTACATAGCAAAGCTTTGGATATGGACAATAATAGCAAAAAAGCTAAAGTCAAAAAAGATTCCCAACAACAGGACAAAGCAATATCATATGTTATCATATATGACTGTCTGAAAAAGATGTAACATCATTAATGTGATATTCCTGCTAAACATGCAAAAACTGAATTTAAGCTAAACTGAGGGAAATTATTATATAAATTAT